GGCATACTTTCCCGTTAAATAACACAGGAAGTGCTCAGTGGGTTAAGGTGCTCACACACGCCCACCTGCCCATGTGAGGACAAGGCTGACTCTGGGATGTCTGCCTCAATCATTTCCCCAATTTTTCTTTATTCTTCTTCCCCATTTTCTTTTGCTAAGACAAGTCTTTCACAGAACCTGAGCTCAACATTTCACCTAGACTAACAGGAGAGCAAGCCACCACCACACCTGGCTTGCAAACTCAGGTTCTCAAGCACTCTCTTCCCACTGAGACATCTTCCTGGCCCCCTCTGCTAAGTCTCTCTCATACAAAGGTAGCAGACTCTCCTAATCACCACTGGCGCAGCACCTGCTTCAAGAACTTCCTTCTCCTTTAAGCTTTCTTCTACTTTGAAAACTTCTCTTTGCCCTACGGTCCTTAGAGTCAGGAGTCCCTACAGCCAAATCTTTAATTGTGGAAGAACTTCCTCTCAGCTGCTGCCAGGTGAGAGGCAACAAGCCTCACACGGGCTGGCAAGTGGAATGGTGTAGACCCGCAAGGCTGGGTGTATTTCCTAACGTCTTTTGTGACCCTAAACCAAGACCTCAAGGAGACTGAGGCATCTTCCAAACCAACCCTTCATTTTGCACACTAGGGAGGGCTGAGTGGCCAGAGTTACGGCCTTGGTCACAGGTCACAAAGCAAGTTACTGCTAAAGTGAAGTTTAAAATCAAATACTTCAGCTCTCACTGTTTCCAACACTACTTCTTTACAAAAATGGGAGGCAGGCCATGGAGAAATCAAACCTACTACTGCTGCAAAAACTAGAAATGGCCTTCCCACCTCCCCCAACAAGTCTGAACAAAGGGGAAGAAGGGATCAAACCATTTCCAGCATAGAAATGAGGTGAAGCAGGGGGCACTATTAGGCTCTCAGACTTTTCTTGCACGGCCCCACATTACCAGAAAAGTTACACTGAACATGGAGCATCAGATGAATTTTCTTCTTAGGCCATCTGAAATGACTAAGTCAATATTCTAACACACTTGAAACTGTTGAAAAAGAACTGCTGGTATCATGAAAGAGTAGTCTTTCAAAAAAAAAAAAAAAAAAAAAAAGAGTAGTCTTTTACCTGTAACCAGGGCACAGTGTTGGGAAGGAACCAGGGTAAAGAAAACAGTTTAAGTAATCTGAAGTGGGGCAGAGAGGAAGAAACCATGAGGATAAACTTGTAACAAGAAAATGAACAGAGGTACCAACAGAAAGGAGGCAAGACAGGACTGAAACACTGCATAGATGACAGAATAAACAGAGGTAACACTAGTTTCTAAATAACCAGAGTCTAGGGGAAGAGCTTCGACTAGACCAATTTTGATAGTCTTTGGATTTTATGATTAAAGGTGTGTGCCACCACCGCCCATCTTAGTTTATCTTTCTTAATTAACGATTCAAACTCTTGTGCTTGAAGAAAGTTTCTCCACCCTTACTCAAGGGCACCAGGGAGTTCTGATGACAGCAACAGGTTGATAGTACAAACCGATCTCTCTCTAGTTTTTCAGGTCTGAAATCTCTTCCTCCTACTGGACAGGACTGCACTAACAATGCCAATTGTACCAGGGTCAGAAGCTAGTTCAGGGCTTAGCACACAGTACACATACAAAGTTGGATCTTGGATGTATGACTCATCAGGTCACCGAATGTGTGTCTGCTTACATGATACTTTTCTCTCTGCCTCCCTCATGCAGGTTCACATTTATAAGCTGTCTAAAAACATAAAGGCTGATGTTTTATTTCAGGTAGCCCTGCTTGGGCTCACAAAACCAAACACTGTGATTTATGAGACAGAAAATTTACAGTAGGCCCCCCGCCCAAGGCACATGTTAAGCCCCAACCAGTGCTGTCAGATGAAGGCTGGCTAACATGCCTCACTTCACTCCACTTCCTAGCCCTAATACAGACTCGGCAGAACTCAGCTGACTCTTGTTTTTCTCCGAGTGGGATCAACCTGGAAGCACCCATCCCCACTTTAGTACTCTCACCACATACCACTCTCCTCTAATTTATTCATAAATTTCTTTTATAATGGGCTGGTTGTGTTTTTTAACTCCTCATCTACCTCTCCCATCACTGTGACCATCGGAGTCAGGAGACTTTCAGTAGCATTTATTAAAGGCTGTGGGTGTAGGTCAGTAGTAAACCCTGTTATTGGCACATATAAAAGCCTGATTCCAACTCTCAGAACCCCTAAAAAACAAAAAGCAACCCCCAATTCAACACTCGTAAATACAAGCATGAAGAGTATCATCAGTAAAACGGTATATACACCAATTCTTCTCACACGCATCTTCCCAAGGGCTCAATTCCACTAGCCCTCCCACCCAGTCTCTGAGGGACATGCAGAAATGCCCTGCTTCCTCCCCTCCCTGCCAACTCACATCTGAACTCTACCTCTGACTCCAGGTAAAAATGCATACTAGTCATATAAGGCAGGCCTTGCCTTTCGCATTTCCTAGAGTCCAATGGATGATACCTGTCAACAGTTGAAATAGCACAGAATCTGTAATCGTGTCTGAATTCTTGAGGACTTTTCTCATAGGTACATAATGGTCTTTTATATGTGGAATTTAATCCATGTAACTAACTTGTTTAACAACAAAGGGGCAATAATTTTAGCTTCTTATTTTTTTAAGCTATTTTGTTTCGTTTTGCTTTGTTTCTGAGACAGAGTTTCTCCATATAGCCTTGGCTGTCCTGGAACTCACTCTGTAGACCAAGCTGGCCTCGAATTCTGTCTCCCGAGTGCTGGGATTATAGGCATGCACCACCACACCCGGCTTTTTAAAGCTATTATTAAAGATTTATTTTTATTATTTTTATCATGTGTACATAAGTGACAGTAGAGTGTGCATGTGCTTATAGAAATCAGATGAGGATGTTGGAATCTTTGGAGTTATGAGATTCAGGAAGCCGGGCAGTGGTAACGCAATGCTAAATGGTGGTGATGCACACCTTTAATCCCAGCACTTGAGAGGCAGAGGAAGGTGGATGGATCTCGGAGAGTTCGAGGCCAGCCTGGTCTACAAAGAGAGTTCCAGGATAGCCAAAACTATTACACAGAGAAACCCTGTCTCCAAAAAAATAAAAAGTTACAGGAGGTTGTCAGGGACCCAACATGGGTGCTGGGAAGGAATTTCCACTCATGTGAAAGAGTAGCAAATGGTCAACCTCAGAGCCATCTCTCCAACCCCTGAATTTAACTCAAGTGTGAACCATGGAGCCAGCTAACTCCATGGTTAGCTGCTCCGTATTTGGGTCTCGCTTAGAGCCTGCTAACACTCAGGTTTGGTTCTCAGCACAACTTTTAAAAAAGTACCACACGTTTGTCCACTGGCTATCTATCTTGGAAGGCAGTCACACTGTTTGAACCTGTGACCCATAACTGTGAGAATGTTCACTTACTTCTGTGTATGTCTGTTCCAATAGGAAATGCTAATTTATGAGGCTGAAGGTACAACTCGGTAGCACACATGAAGCCCTGGGTTCAAACTCCCAGCACCAAACAAGCAAACAAAGTGTTCATATGCAATTATATGCACCCCAAAGACAGGGTACCTAACCCTGTGCTCAATTAACTTTACGCTTGAACCAAGAGATGAACTGAGGGTCCTGGGATCAATTAGCATTCTACCAACACCCTCTGGCAAGTTGAAACCTGCAAAGCAAATAAAGGCAACTATTTTGAAACTTAATAACGTTGAGTGTATGAGGTGTGTGCGCGCTAGGCTTCAGGCACTCTAGAATCTTCTCTATCCCTTCGATACTTTCTAGCCCCTGTGGTAGTTTATTGATCAACATTCTTAACATTCTTAAGCATCAAATAGCCACTTCATTTTAACATCGTCCAATAAATATGCGGACAAACTGGCCTGCGATGAAGTCTGAGTCGGGAAATGTATCTCTAAGATTATCTTTGAAATTCCACTTCGGCGACTCAACCATAACTTAGTTCTCTTTACCAGTCCACTGCTAATCTAGACCGGAGGGAATGTGCAAAGGCCCACACATAATAAATACAGGGATCGAAAAGCACCCAGAGTCACGCACGAACTATATATAGTCAAAGAACTGAACTCTGGGACATCACTGGCATGAAACGAAAGCTTTAGTTTGAGAGCTTGAGAAATCCGAGTTAATCAGTTCTAATTAACCCCTAACCTGGTAAGAAGTCCGCTTCTCTTAACTGTACAAAGGCAAGTTGGACTCGAAATCGGACACCCAGATGTGCCTGCCAGATGTGTAAAGTGGGTCAGCACTTCTCAGCCAAGGGACCTTTCCCCTACAAGAGGGCTAGATTCAAATCACCCCCGCTTCTCTAGCAGGAAGTGCGCCAAGCTCCCCGGGCATGGGAAGGAGGGCGGTCACCCGCGCTCACTGGAGCACGGGTGAGGACCTTTGGCCG